AATCTCCATTGGGTGGTGGTTGTAAATATTGCTGATGGCGGCTCATTTTCTGCTTGTATTCTTTCTAATACGTGTTGTCTTCTGACTTGTTTTTCTTTGGTACAGGTATCTGCTGCCCGAGCATGTGGGACCATGTACTCTCAGGATAACATATTCTGGGCACACTGATTTGAGTGTGAAATTTCAAAGTCACCGAAGCAGGTATTCACATGTTTGTTTTTGTTATTCCAGTTCCTTGGAAATAATACCTAATTTTATGTTGCACCCTCCTACATTGTTTCTGTATTTATGATGTTTCCTGTTCTTGTAATTATTTATAAAACAAACAAATAAATAAATAAATATTTTCTATTATTGGACCGTCTTTATCTCTATGTAGGTGACCACTGTTCTCACTTTACCCATTTTGCTGATTCAGGGACTACACTAATCCTACCCTTCCAGTTGCTCCATCAGCCATAGATGGAAGTGGTCAGGTAATGCAGTGATGGGGGAAAAAATCTGTTATTAGATTATATCATGAGGGTGAGGCAGGCAGACCTTTCTGTACCAAGGCCCTTATTCATTTCGATCTTGGCATGCATGTCACATAAAAAGTTCTGTATTTTTATGAGGTGTTTTTGGTACGTATCAATAGATTGGGGAAAACAGGAATTAAATTCGTCTGCTGGTGCTCTTTCTAGGAAATACTTGAGACTAGTTCAAAATTGTGATATAAACTTGTATCTTCGAGCATGTTATATCGTACCTCTATTAATAGGGTTCATTGTTTCATCATTACAGCTAATTGTGGGATTGGATGGGAAAAAGCTAGAACCGGAGAGTAATGTGCTTCTTGCATCCATCGAAAACATGCAGTATGCTGTCACCTTGGACGTTTTACACATGGTATATCTGATTTATTTATAAATATGATCGTGTTCTTTTCAGCCATGTGGATTCAGTTGGAAACTGATCTTTTCCTTTTCCTGCCACTAGGTCTTTTCTGCTTTTGGGCCTATTCAAAAGATCGCCATGTTTGATAAGAATGGAGGGGTTCAGGCCTTGATTCAGTATCCAGGTACCTTTCTACTAGCTCTCTTTCATGGTTTTCAAAATTGGAAAGTAAGGGTTTGATCTGACCTGATTAATCGGGAACCAGCCAGCTGACATGTGTATGGTTGAGCCTAAGTTTTTCGGATTCTGAACCTAGGCCATACTGATTTTGAGCCTAAGCCATACTGATTTTGAGCCTACGCCCTATGGATTTTGAACCTAAGGCATACTGACTTTAAACCACCTTAGCCTTGCTGAGTGAATGTTAGGTTGTTTATTACCCATGTACAAGGTGCTGCATTTTACAATTCCTGTAGAAGTAAACTGCTGATTATACATGGGGCTAATTATGTTATGGCATGCAGATGTTCAGACAGCTGTTGTTGCCAAGGAGGCCTTGGAAGGGCACTCCATATATGATGGAGGGTTCTGCAAGCTCCACATCTCATATTCACGCCATACCGATCTCAGCATAAAGGCAAGTTAAATATATTCTCCGAAGGTCTCCTGGAATGGTCATTTGCACTTCTTGTTGGTGTTCCTTTTTATTTTTCAACTTTCCCATGATTTCGGGAGACGAGCTGTGCCTAATGTCTGCGCCTACCATGCTGATTACAGGTGAACAATGATCGGAGCAGAGACTATACGATCCCTACCATTCCAATTGTGGCCGCACAACCGTCAATTCTGGGACAACAGCCAGTTCATCAGAGTCCTGCAGTGCCTCCATACAGCAGGGCTCAGTATGCTGATCAGGCTGTGATGCCTCAGCCTTCTGCAGGGTGGGGACCAACTGTTCCGGCAGTTCCTCAGTCCTTGCCGTTTCAGATGCATAATCAACCGTACATGCCACCCGGAACTATGCCTATATCTTCTCCTCAAATGGGCCCTGGGATGATGCAGAGTGGTCCGCCGCCTCCGCCCTATCACCATGGTCATGTGCAATGACACCTCTCTTATGGAATTAACCGTTAAAGTTGTCGAATCTCCGGTCATTGGATTATGGAACCACCACCTCTGCATATGCAAGGAGCATTTGAACAAGGGAGTCTCCCATCTGCAGAAGCAGCCTAATTGGGAAAATTTCATGATCCTGTTTTCTTTTCCTTGAAATTTTGATAGTGAGATTCTGTAAAATCAGTGGGTTTCAAGTACTTGATTGTGTTGTTGACTGTTTTAAGGTTTATTAAGATAATAATATCAACTGTTAGTTTAAATGAGTTATAGGTGTATGGGACAAGGAAATTAGGCGTTTGCTGCCTGCCTTTGGTCCAAATTTGCAAATTACAATTTTTCTCACCATAGTATTGCCGTCTTCTACCGTATAGTTTTAGTATGAATTTTTATAGTAAAAATATATATACGGTCGGATCTGTGGCATCACTTCTTTTACACAAACGCACATTTTTGTAGGTTTGTTTCGTAATGTATTTTAATGATCCAAATTATCCATTTTTTAGGTATTTCTTCAAAGATCATGTGTATCAAAAAGCACTCAAATCCGAAATCATATAATTTGAACTATTCACATTTTAGGTGGATCAGCGAAGATCATATTAATGAAAAATTTTCTAAAATTGAAAGTCGTTTAATTATCTGATTGTGGCTTGATAAATAGACAACATTAACAATGAAAAGTATGAAATAATAATTAAAGGCTGAAGATTTTCAATTTAAGCGAATTTTTGCAAATTGATCTATAAATGATGATCTACAAAATAAATGGTTTCAGATCATGAGATTCTTTTGTGCATCGAGCTACTAATTAACACTGTATAAATTTACTAATATAATCATATATAACTCTTACTCAATACATATTTGAATTAAGGTACGATAAATCTTGTATTTTTTGTGAAAATCGAATGACGTAATCTGAATGACTCCACCCAAAATTTTCTTGGTCAAGTAAGCCCAATTGTTACTATTTCTTTCCAATTGAAATTTTCCGTTTGTTTTTATTTTTAAGTATACGTTTCAAAAGACCTCCATCTCCTGTCAGCACTAGGAATACCTAAACGGTTGATCACCAAGAAATCCTGTGGCTTCTACAAAAACAGAAATAAAAGGGGTTTTTGAACATTAGTCCTTGCAAAAGATTAAAATTTAAAAAAAAACCTGATGCTAAATTAAATATTCAATTTAATCCCTTGAGTGTACTTTTATCAAAATTTACATTCAATTTTTCTTATTTAATGTGTATTTTTATTTAATCTCCCCATATTAAATTTTAATTTTATTAATATGCACATATTTAATTTGTTTTAATTAGAAATGAACGTAAATGAGAAAATATTAAAAAAAATTGTGATACAAAAATATATAGATACATAAGTGTACAAAAATGATTGTGCCAAAATATATAAAATTGACTTTTTTGTACCAATATTTGTACCTACATGATTGTACCGAAATATATTATAATGAACCTAAATGTATGTACTGAAATGTATTATATTGAATTAATGTACCTAAAAGTCAATACTGAAATGTATGTACCAAAATGTACGAACCTAAATGTCAATACCGAAAATGTATGTACCTAAATAAAAAAATGTCAATACAAGTGTACCTAAATGTCAATACTGAAATGTATGTACCTAAATGTCAATACCGAAAATGTATGTACCTAAATATCAATACCAAAATATATGTACCTAAATGTATTTACCGAAATAATAATTGAATTAATGTACCTAAAAGTCAATACTCAAATGTGTGTATCAAAGTGTACGTAACGAAATGCATTATATTGAATCAATGTAACTACATGTTTGTACCGATAAATATACCAAAATATTCAAATGTATTAATGTACCTAAATGAAGAACATACAAAATTGTTATCGGAATATATATTATAAAAAATTTAGTTGCCTAAATGTAGACATTAAAATATATTATGGAGAATGAAATAAAAATGAAATGTAAATGTAAATGTAATTAATACATTAAAATAAAAATAAAAAGATAAAAGAAAACATCAAAATACAACTAATAAATGATATGATTAAATGTGCTAGGGACTAAAATTGGCTTTTAATCTTACATATGGTTATAATCTAAAACTCATCTTTTTTAGGGATTAAAATGAAGTTTTCTAAATAAAAAAGCATCACAGCCGAATAGTATAAATAGAGGGAGCCTTCGAGCTTCCATTGCATGCAACAAAGCCAAACACCCCCTCTTCTCTTCTTCACTTCTTCTTCTGCAGTCTTTCGTCATTGTAAGTCTTTCTCTCCTCAACGTTGAATATTTAGGGTTTGCACGTTTTCTTCTTTTGTTTTTCACTTCGGTGAATCGATCGATGTTATTTATTTATTTTTTACGCTCACGAGTTCTTGCTTTCTGGGAACTACCAAGCAGATGGTTTAACTTGTAGAACAAGGACTCCTAAATACTTCAATTTCCTACTTGTTTGATGCTTTTTCGTTGTACGATTATATGTTTTTATCTGTTTTTCAACTTACTTTAATTGCTCCTTTTCTCGAATCTCGTATTTTTTTGGATAGGTTTTAAGTTTTGAATAGGATTTGATTTAGGTTTTGGTTTTAGGAAACCTCGATTCCTAAGAATTCTTGCTGGTTAGAGGTTGATTTGTTGTTTTTTCTTCAACTCGTGTGTTATTTTTTTAATTTTTAATTTTCCCTTTACTCTATGTTTCTTCCATTCTTTCTGAAATGTATCGGCATATTATCGAACAAATTAGGGTTTAGGAAAACTTCTGATTTTCCCACATTCTACAAGTACACATATATATAGGGCGACCCAAGCCAACAAGGCTCACAACTTTGCGAGGGTCTGGAGAGAAATTGCACTTAAACTGATGTGTCGTCTTTGTTAAACTATTGATAATCTCTGCATCAAATCATATTAATTTGCATTTTTCACTCTTGGATTGCAGGTGAGAAATTGTGCTTTTATAAAAAGCTATGTTCAATAGTTAACTTAACAGTTTGGGAAAAGATGGGAGCACTTAGTGATCCTAGTGAAGCCGAATTGGACTTCCTTCAACAAAGGCAACAATTCAAAGAACGCTTTCGAATCAATCATATGAAGGAATCGGGGTCTGCTAATGATCGTCCCATCGATAAGAATAAAAGTGACAAGTTTTTCTTTCTTTTCGGATGTTCATCGACGAGGAAGGAATTGATAAAGCTGCATTTGGTTTGAGATGGATGAGTTGTTTTTCGACACATACAGTGTCTTCATCTTTGCAGCTTCGGGACATTCTTTGGACCCTCACAACCTACCATATCGCGAAGAGTGCTCGAAGAAAGAAAAGCACTAATGCCGGGATTAACGAAGTTGGCATCCAAGGTCAGACGTTCTGATGATCAGGTATGCAATCAATGAAACCTTTGTCATGAAATTTATTTGTATCGTGATATTAGTGTATAATTTTTCACCTCAGCGTTTTAATTTCTTCTCTAGGGTAAAAAGAGCCTGAAGACCCCTTCCTCAATTACAACAAAGTCTGGTTCGACATTAAAAATTATAAAGAAGTCCCGGGATTACTCCTTTTTGTCGTTAAACGAAGCAGAAACACCGGCAACTTCAAAAGGGGAGTCTAGACTCCGTAAAGATTCTGTCTCGAATTCAAGCAATGCAAGAACTCCGGTTTCTGGTACGAATAGAGCTCCTGTGGCGAAGTTGAAGCCTGAAAAGAAGCAACGTTGGGAAGATAAGGAGAGACATCATGAGAAGAGACAAGATTTGATGCCAAGGCAGTCTTCCTTGCAACGTAAGGTTCCAAAAGTGAATGAAACTTCTTCAACGAAGTCACTGCCTGCATCGAAGAAAAAATTGGAACAACGAAAGGATTTGCATCAACCTACAAAACTAAAACCAAAGCCAGATAAAACTCAGTCTCCTCCACAAGAGAATTCAACGAAGTCACTGCCTGCATCGAAGAAACAATTGGAGCAACGAAAGGTTTTGCATCAACCTGCGAAAGCAAAACTGAAACCAGATGATAAAACTCAGTCTCCTCCACAACGACAGAATCTTGATAGGTACAAAGCCTCCTCATCAAAGTTACCATCTTCGACAAAGCACGACATTAAAAAAGAAAAGCAAATCCTCCAACCCAATAACACAAGAGTGATGCCGAAACGGCAAAACTCCTCGAAAAATAAGGTTCTTTCTCACTGACATGCATTCATATTTTCCATTCATTTGTTTGTTCATATTTCTTTCCATCTTTCTGTGACGAAGCTCATGAATTTCTCTGAATCGAATTTCAGCAGATCAAACGCGACGTGGCGGAGAGTTCTTATGATGACAAAGTCGAAGTTTCTTCTATGATCCAATCAATTTTTAGGTAAAACTTCTGTCTTTATGTTCTGATTTCTTGGTTTCCACTTTTCATGTTTCGTATTGTCTTAATATTTTGGGTTGTGGTTTTTCAGACGTAAACGTAAGCATATTCGGGAGGAATATTCCGATTCTGACGAGGATGACGCTGCAATGGTTTCCACCTTTCACGATATTATTAGAGAAGAGAACAGGAGGTGCCATACTTTTCCTCTTCAAGTAATGAATTACAACTTAGTTGTATATTTACGTGCAAAATCTAAGTGTGCCTCTCATTTGACAGTTCAAAAATTGCTAGGAAGGAGGATGAAATCGAGCGTCTACGGCTCGAAGAAGAAGAGAAGCAAGAGAGGTTAAGAAAAGCAAAGAAGCAGAAGCTGAAAGCATACAAAAGCGATTCCAACTCTTGATGTAAATGACCTAATTGATAGATAAAAGTATGATATTTTTATGTTAGTGAAATCCACATAGCTTTTGAAATCCGGCTAACCACTCGCCAAACTTAACATAAAATGCAAGCAGAAGCAAATGTACAAATGCCGTCTCTCGGCACATACATACACAACCAAAATCATATCACCGAAACAGAACCCGAAATTCACAGAGAAACTAGTCCGGTTTTTTCTTCCTGTACTTTTCATTCGCGAAAGGGTTACAGAAACCTTTATGACGGATGTGGTTCTTAAGATCCTAAACACAGGAAGTTTAACAATCTAATTTTTTTGTACTGATGGAAAACAAGGGAAACAAAAATATGAGCGTGTTTCACGTGTGTGAAATGGAAGTGTACAACTGCCTGTCCGTCTCCAAAACCTCCGAGTTAGGAAAGCCTCGGAAGCTTCATCCATTGCAGTCTTTGGCCGCCACCATGTGCTATCGGTTCCAATTTTCAGAGCCGATCAATTGGCTCAGTTTGGTCCTGTACCGCAAGTCGCTCTGAGACGTCAGAAAGAGATTTGAGATTGCACTGGATCAAGGCTTCAACAAAGTAGCAGGTCTCATCCTTGGTGTTCCCTTCAGGAATGTCAACTACAAATGACTCAATCACCAGAGTCCCCGGTCTTCCGTCAATTATCTCTGGATGGAGGGAGATGATTGAAGAGTAGTTCTGGGAAAAAAATAATACAAACAAGTTAAATATACATAGGATGGTTGCATAATAGCAGAACAAAAGGATAAACTGAAAACAAGGACTCCTCATTGAGTTTGGAGATCCACTGATCCAAAATATTATAGGAGGATCAGTTTCCGACTCAGAGGCTTGTAAACAGGCCTACTTTAGTCAACATGGCAGCACCCTCGTTGCTGCTTAGTGCAGATAGCGTGAGAGTTTTATGGTTAACCCTAAGGATTGATATATATATGTAACCATTCATATATATTTTATATTATCAGTAGGATTCACGTCAATAACCTCATCCGAATTCATCCATAAGCCATCAAGTACCAATTTTGAACTTAGAGACAGATGCCAGTGGTCACTGATTAAAAGGAACAAGGAACCAACACCGTAAATTTAAATTTTGTGCAGCCAAAGCTGAAGCCTGTTTCAGGAAATCTTTTTCTGTTTCCATTAAATTTTGATGAGATCAAGTTCAACGGGCCCAAAACTTCAAAACTAAAATGCAGAGACTCTGGTGAACACAGAACTTCATATTAAAATCTTGTGAACTAGTTAACCTTTTAGCTTGTATGCTCAGAAATGTGCAACCAAATAAAAGGAAAAGATAAGTATGTGCTGGATTATAAAAGGAATGAATCTCCATACCCTGAGTCTGTGATCCCCACCAATTATTTTAATGCTAAGAATATGCTCGTCATCGTCAAGAAGTTCCAATCTCTCAGTACTTGTTGTGGCAGGAAGCCCAGACTTAACATCAACTTCTCTGAGACTTCCAATCTCAAGATTTCCCTGCACCACACACCTGCTGACAAATGGCTTATACTTTTGCGGTTGATCAAATCGTCTTACCAACGACCAAACCTGAAGAGAAACAAAACAATTCACATTCCGGAAAAGGGATAACCAAAAAACATATTTATACTAATACAGTAGTTTCATGTCAACCATCCAGAGATGCAGAATTGCAGTCAGTATTTATTGGCAAACTATCGTCGCAGTTATCCTGCCCATTCTCAACGAGGATCTCTCTCAAATACACCTTAATCTTCCAGTTTCCTGGAAGATAGGTATTAAAAACAATCGAACATTAAACAAGAAATGCAGTAATTACATTTCTGAGCCAACGAACAAGAACATAAAAAAAACCCCAAAAAAGCAATCAAAAATTCCTTTTTTTCTCTGTTTCTCCTCAATTTTCTTAACTGCACGCACAGAGACGCCGTGATAGAAGAACTACAATTACCTAATCGATCGACACCCCCACATTAACGTAGGCAAAATCATTAAGCAACCCATCCGAAAACACCACGGATCAAAACCAGATGCTCTCCAAAAATGCAATCAAACATGTCCTTAAGGAAAAAGAACAATACTTTACAGACCAAAAAGAGCAAAAACAATCCGAAATCGAATCCCGGTAACCCCAGTTTCACAAACTGATACCTCAACTCCTATATCAAACTCCAAATCCAATTGTAACATAAACACCCACCTCCCTATATGTTACATGCATGATATTTACATCTCCAATATACAAATCCCAGATCAAACAAATCAAATAAATCAAAAATCCTAGAGCTTCATAGATAGATAGATATCCACACAGAGAGAGAGAGAGAGAGAGATGTACAAGATGGACAGGGGCTTTGATGTGCCGGACGAGAGTAGATGTACACTGATGGTCGTTAAGGTCGTGCTTGTGGTGCCTCCGAATGTAGTCGCTCACTATCCCGCCAAAACCACCTCCTCCGCCGCCGCCGCCTCCTCCGCCTCCATTCCTATTCCCATTCATCTTCCTCTAAACCAATCACAACACTGTCGATCAAAACCAACAAAAATAAATCGCCTTTCACAATAAACCAACCAATCAAACATTCACAAACTCACCAATCAAAACGCCGCCTTATCTTCCACCTTCAAGCTCTAAACTTTCCGTCTGCAATTCCAATACTGGTTGAGAGAGCGAGAGAGTCAACCCCGTTCGACTCGGTCGGACTCGATCAAAGCTTGGGATTGAGAAAGGAAGAAGTTAGGTCGCTAGTGAGAGAGAAAAGTGTCCAAGGACCCGATTCGACTCTGTCAAAGCTTGGGAGTGTGAAAGGAAGAAGTTTGGTCGCTAGTAAGAGAGAGGAGACTCACCGCCATAGAAGATGGAGAAGAAGCGCCTCAGGCCTCCCCATCATCCTCATCACCTATCTCACCTCCTTCCTAATAAATTAATACTTTAAAACCCCCAACCAAACAAAAAATAGACCTACAACTTTAATTAATTAAAGCAAGTTAGCAATTACCTTTGTCTGTTATTGCAACTTGCATTAAATTATACTTTTCTTGTCTTGCAAATGCCTATCTTCTGGGAGAGATTTGTCAATGTGTTCCGAACATGGAGCGGTAGCTGCGATGCGTTATATGTCATTATATAAGTGGACATAATTTTTTTTCTGAAGTATCGCTTTACTTATTTAGACATCTCACTTATTTAATGATATATAGTGTATGTACTCGTGTTTCGAGCGCATTGAAAAATCTCTTCTCTTTCAAAGGATAAATGTGAACATGTCATCACTCATTGTCTGTTTATGAGGATTATGTTTTTCTATGACTAAATTGTCCTCTAAGGTTGCTTGATTTACACTTCCGATTTACTTGACTGTTGCGTAAGGGTTTTGGTATGGCAACGTGACCAGTTGGATGGTTTACCGTGTGGGCACCCCACTCGCACTATAAATGGTTTAACTCCCATCTCTTATGAGTGCGGCCTCTAACGGGTTATCTCCTCACAATATTATTGTGGAGCTAAATTCATAGTTGATCTTGCATGATTATGTGTTTAGTTTCTTCACGTGACAATACTTGATTCACCACAATGACATCGGAGTGTAGGTAAGTTAAGAATAAATATTGTAGTTGTCGTTGGTAATTGATGAAGCAATCTTAAGAGAATTCCGCTATTGAGATTATGTCATTAATTAATGTCAAGTTAGACTACTATTCAATTGGGATTCTCTCTTATTTAAACGGTCGCATTACATTACGTTTACATCTTGTTTTGAATTTTTTATATAGTGAATAAGACAAAAAGAAGAGTGTGAGATGGGAGAATGGAAGATGATGGTAATAGGAGAGAAGGGAATCTCATTCCATTCAATTGAATAATTAATTAAAGGTCATTTACTTGTTTGATTCTTACAATAAATAAATTATATTGTTTTGTTTAGCTTATAGTGGCCTATGCCCTAAAGAGTTAGGGTCACATGGCCTTGAATGAATAATGGATAACACCAAATGGTCTTATGTACTATGCTATATATTTTTATGGGAGCTTTAAGACTAACACTCAAATATATTTCATACAACTTCACTAGTTTTGTATCATTCTAAAGAAAGATAAAAGTTCAAACTCCGATAAACCTAGTCCAAAAACAAGTAAACTAAAATTTTAAATTTTCAATTGTGCCCCCAATAGACTTATTACTTAACCAAACCAAAACTCTAGACTGACATCATCTGTAAAGACTTCAAATTGATTTTAGATCTGTGAAAATATTTTTGCACTTCTACAAGATTAGTTCATAATTCATGCACTTCTGTAAGATTAGAAAAAATAAGAGAGAGAATGGCAAAGAAGATGTAGGAGGAGAGAGAGAGAGAGAACGATAAGGAGGATGAGGGAGAAGGGAGTGGGGGATAGGAAGAAGGAGAGAGAAAGAAAATGACGAAGAAAAAAAAATGAAGAGAGAGAAAGAAACAATATAAATAAAGAAATAGAGACTCATCTTTCAATTTTAGAGACATAAAATTGTCACTGTAAAGTTTGTAATCTCTACTAATTAATAAAATACTCATTGTCAACAAAAAATTTATGAAATTATCAGTTTAACCCTCTAATTAAAACAAAACATGAATAAGAAATATATGGGGCAGAAATGTAATTTCATACAACCAAATTTTGCTTTTTTTTTCAAAGCATCGCCTACATGTAATCCTAACATATCTCTAACAAAAAAAATAAAATAAAAAACTTCTCACTCCCACATTCTCTATCACTCTCTTCCTCTCTCCTTCTATTTCAAAAATAAAAAATAAAAAATTTCTCACACACTTTGTGTGTGCCCATATGCTAGTAGCAATTAAAAAAAAAAACAATCATGACATTACATTTAACGTAGATAAGTTTTATCCATCTCTGAAATAAATAAAAACCTTAGTATTTCTCCAAAATATAGTCTTACAATTTGAATATATGTTTTCTTATTCTTGTTTTTATATTACACTCCAACCAAGATCATTTATCTGAATTTTGAAAACA